TGCCTTGAGCATGTGGAGTGCCTTGGGGCGCATACCAGTGTGGGCGCAACACAGACTGCAGCAACCAGCGTGGACTCCAAACAGTAGGTCCTTGCAGTCTACGCGGAGCATTATATGTGGTGCAATGTATGCGATGCAGCCAATGTGATGCAATCTATGCGGTGTGTTCTATGTGGTGCTTTCTATGTGGTGCAATCTCTTTAGTGCAATGCATGTGTTGCAAGCTATGTGGTGCAATCTATGTGGGCGGCGACGGGGTTGCGACGAGGCGGTGACGGGGCGGTGACGGGCGGCACCGCCCCGAAAAGCCGGGACTGGGGCCCAGGCGACGGGCGGCGACGAGGCGGCGACGGGGCGGCGACGGGCGGCACTGCCTGGAAAAGCCGGGACTGGCCCCCAGATGGTTAAGACAAGTGAGAACCACAATTGAGAGCCCAAGTCCCCGACTCGCCGCGACTACTGGGACCATCTAGGATCTCACGCGTGAGCCTGGCCCGCACGAGGGCCGCGTCGCTTCCACGCCGTGGCCTCCGAGGGGCGAAGGAGAGCGACAATGCAGCCAAGGCGCCGAAATCGGAAGGGCCACCTGGGGTTCAGCAGGGGCCCACTTCTTCTTTCCAGGTTTGTTTGCTGCTTCGCTTTGCTGGTGCTGGCTTTCGCCGCCTGCCCCCTCGGTCCCTCGACCTCCCTCATGGCCGCGACCTGCCGATCAGTGCCGCCCTGGACTCTGGCCGCGCCTGCGGCCACGGACTGCGCCGTTGCCGCGGCGCTTCCACCCCGTGGTCTATTTGAGGCGAAGTATAGTGACAATGCAGCCAAGACGCTGATGTAAGGGCCACTTTGGACTGGCTGGGAGGCAGAGAGAGGCCGCAACGTTTCGGTACCTCCAGACCTTGAGGTAGAAGCACTGGGAGGCACGCCATCGATGACCGCCCAGGCGCCCCTCGCGCTGGGTCTTGGTGGTCTTCAGAAAAGCGCTCACGGGGAGCCGCTGACCAGAGTCTGTATTAATATGTGGTTCATTTGGCTTCGGAAGCCCAAGAACTCGCGTATCACATGTTTCACATCAGACCTGGCTGACGCTCGTTCAAGAGCCCGCGGCTGTGAGATGTTGCCTGTTTGAGAAAAGTGGGGCCCACTTCTTTCAGGCTGGTGCTAGCATTCGCCGCAATCAGCAGCTTACCAGGCTTGATCACAGATAGGCTCCAGATTCGTCCTCTACTTGCAAGAAGGAAAGTCTGGTTTTCTCTGTAAGAGCGTTTTTTGAAGGGAGGTCCGCCTTCCAAAGAAATTCACTTACACATCGGCTCAAGAGGGGCCTTGGTTTTCAGGCCTTTCCTTAGATCTAAGTCGGGGTTCCTGGGCTCGCTGCGGTCAGAAAATCCCATTCGTTCCTTAGACAGCGTCCCGTATGGAAGCACTGCGACTGTAATGGACACGCACATGCGCTCGGAGATCTGCGCGGAGTTCTTGCACTGGCGGCGGGGATTCAGGGCCGATCCTTCAGAGAGAAGCCTGCGTGGACCTCCGGACGTTGAAGCTGATGCAAAGTGCTTATCCTCTGCATGTGTGCGCGCGTGGTCCGTGCTGCGTGCTCGTCTCCGGCGTCTGGCAGCCCCCCCGATCGTCATGGAAGGAAAGAGGTCCTGAGAGGAGGGGCTCCCCGGAGGTTCTAGGACCCTTTTCCCTCAGGACGTCTTTTCTTCGCCTCGTGTCGACACGGCGGCGATTCCAGCGCGGGCGTTCCAGGATGGAGGAGGAGGAGGAGGCGGAGGGAGGGGGAGGAGGACGAGGAGGAGGAGGAGGACGAGGAGGAGGACGAGGAGGAGGAGGAGCAGGAGGAGGAGGAACGGTCTCCCCTCCCCTCCCTTGCCCAAGGGCCCGACGCCGTGGGAACACACGCTGGGGAACGCGGGTGCGGCGCCCTGATCCCACGGCTCGCCGCCCAGCTTCGCCGCGCCCCTCTGGCGCGGGAGAGGGCCGGCATCACCCAGCCATCAAGTCGGGCACGTCGTTTTGCACGAGGGATATGCAAAGATAGTTCAAACAAATAGTCTGGGGACGATCTGTCGACCAGTTTTGACTTTTTTTTTGTTTTTGTTTTTGTTTTTTTGTTGTTTTGAAATTATTCGTCGAACATCTGCGTGTAGGAGGGCACGCCCGACCTAACCCAAACATTATCATATTGCGTGCGTGCCGCCCCATCTCTTCCAGTACAAGATCGATGGCGTGCGCTTCCTGGCAATACCGCCTCGGTGACCATAGGCTGTACAGCGGGGGCGCGCACCAAGACACCGTGTGCTTTGGAGTCAGGGTTTCTTTCGAATGCAACTCCTGCGAGGTAAAGTTCTGTTTTTGCCCTGCTTAATGTAATCCCGCTTAATCTGGCATAATCCAGCTTAATCCAGCTTAATCCGGCTTAATCCGAGGCCCGCTCCGGCGTAACAGCTCCCAAATGGGGTTTAATCCTCTTTAACCTTGCCGACGAAAGCCTCCCAGTAGTTGCCTCCTATGTTTCTTCGTCTCCAGGGATGCGCGGTGACTCTCCCGATCGCGAAGCACTCGGGCAGAAGCTGCCGCGCCCAGGGTGCCCTGGGTTGCTCCAAATGGAGCCCTCGGCCAGCATCGGGGGCGTTCCACTACTCGCAACACGCGTCCGAAAAGCACACGTCTGCTTCAATGTAATTTCTCGTATAGTCCCTCCCGGCGGATCCAGGCCACTTGCGAGTAGTCACTTTGCGAGTAGTGGGACGCGCTCGTCTAGGCCAGGAAACCCAGACCCTGGGCCAGAAATGCCTCGCAGTTTCGGGGCTGGTTTTTCTTGCAGCGGTCTCTCGCGGCCGCGCCCGCACGATGACTGTGCCACGTGTTCGGCCTCGGGAGGCGCGCCTCCCCGGGGGGGGGGCGGCACACACCGTGCCGGTCTGTCCTCCTGCGGCCTTCCGAGGACGGCGAGGCCGCGGACTCCAAGAAGAAGAAGAAGGAGCCGGGGAGCCAGCCTGATGCACATCCACGGGCATCGCCTTATCTGATACCGATCTTGACGACTTTTCGAGCTTTCGAGGGCGCCTCCCTGATGTTGGCGTCGCCTCTGGCAGTGCCACTCTTAGGGATTGGGATAATCTGGATGCTTAGCCTGGAAACCAAACATGGCACAAGCAACAACTTTCGGAAGTCTGCGCGGATGGATTTCTCGGATCGGCGCCTGAACCCCCCTGGCGGCGCCTCCGGCGCCGCCCCTGGCTCGCTCCGCGCGCTAGGGAGGGGGGTCCAACGCCGATCCAAGACCCGCGCGGACCTTCGAAAGTTTATCCGTGAAGGCTTCGCCCCCTGCCGCTGTCCCTCCTCTCTTAGAAAGGGACTTGCCAGAGCTGTGTCGGGATGTCTGGACGCTGACGAGAAGCAATGTCGGGACTTCACGCGAGGGCCAGTATCTTATCTACGGCTTGCGCTGCAAACCTGAAGAACTGCGTTCGAACTCTGACGGTTCGCACTACGAACCTTGGGATTGTGGTCTCGGGGCCGCGAACGTGGCGTAATTTATGAGCGGGCGTGGCCTCGGGGGCGCGAACATCGGGGACGCAACGATTGCGTAATTTGCAAAGGTTTATGGCCTCGGGGACGCAAATATCATATAATTTGTAAGGGTTCGTGGCTTCGAATCGGCGACTACTGTGTACTTTACGGGAGTTTATGGCTTCGGTGGCGCAGTATTTTACGAGGGTGTATGGCGTCGGGGACGCAAACATTGCATAATTTACGGGGGATTATGGCTTCGGGGGCGCGAATATCGTGTAATGTTTGAGGGATTATGGCTTCGGAGACGCGAACATACTGTAAATTACGAGGGTTCATGGCCTCAGGGACGCTAATGTGGTGTATTTTTATGTGTCCCACGACCCCCCGGGAATTCAGAGCACGCGATTCCGGGACGCTAGCCAGGACGCTTTTCGGCTCCTCCCCTCGCGCGTTCAGCAACAATTTGCAGTAGAAAGTAGAAAACAAGTTGGAACTTGTGCAGGGAGCATGAAAGCCTAATCTTCGCAGCCTGATGGCCCCGTAAGGGGGCTGGCGGATTCGGCGGCGAGCCCTGGGAGAAGTCAGAGGGGGCGGGTCTTCTCAGAAGGCCCGAAGGGCTCCAGCCTCCTGAGACGTCTTCTGGGCCATCCTCCGAAGACACAGGGCGGCCTGTCGGAAGCCCGGAGGGCTTCTGAGAAGCCCGCCGCCCTCTGAGATGGCCTGCCTCTCTCAACTCCCCCCTGGGCGCGCCGCCGATTCGCGTCATGACTTTCACTGCTCCCTCCGAGGAGAAGAACCGCAGCGCCAGCCGGAAGCGGAAGCGGGCCCGCAGGCCGCCCTGGCAGCGGGCCCCCCCCCCCCGCCTGCGGCAGCGGCGCGGGCGGCCGACGTGCGTGCGGGCGCGGCGGCGCGGCGCCTGCTCGGTCGGGGGCGAACGTTGAGAGTGTTGTCTTACCCGCTGGGGTATAGCGCGCGTTACGCCCCCTTCCCCCTTCCCTCCCCCCTCCTCCCCCCCCCCATCACGTAACGCTGCTCCCCCCCCCCCGCCCCCCCTCCCCTCCCCCCCTCCTCCCCCGCTCCGCAGTTACACAATATGAATACTACTCTCCTCTCTCCCCTGGTGGCGTCCAGGGAATGTCCGGCCCCGCTCCGCGTATTGTTTTGTTTTTCACACAGGATTCCCGTTTTTTTCTGTTTCGTCTTTTCCGCGCTTCCGCTCTTTTTGAATCGTGCTCTCGCTGCAGCGCTGGGGTCATCATTTCCAGCGCCATGCCACGGCATGGTTTTCGGTCCTTCCAAATAGGCGCCCAAATCTAGAAAATGGACCCCGAGTAAACCATCGAAAGTGATTACACATTCGGTGCCGATTCGTTGATTTTTTGGGCCGCAGAAGCCCCCTCCCCCCACTTTGCGGCGACGCCACGCCATGCTATGTCAGGCTACGCGTCCTCATTTCCGCGCTTCCGCTCTTTTTTTGTTTTTTGTTTGTTTTTTGTTGTTTCTTGTTGTTATTGTTTTTCAAATGCTGCTCTCGCTGAAGCGCAGGCTTCATTTTCGGCCTACCGCTCGTTCCGAATCGTGCAACCGCTGCAGCGGTGGCCACATTTCCGCGCTTCCGCTCGTTCCGAATCGTGCTCCCTTTGCAGCGCTGGCGTCATTATTTCGAGTGCCATGCCCCGGCATGAGTTTCGCTCCTCCCAAATAGGCCCCCAAATCTAGAAAATGGCCTCCCGAAGAAACCATCGGAAGTGATTCCACATTCGGTATCGATTCGTTGATTTTTTGGGCCGCAGAAGCCCCCCCCCCCACCTGGGAGCGTTGCCACGCCATGCTAGCTATGTCATGCTACGCGTTGATCTTTGACACCATGCTGTGCCACGTAATGCTATGCCATGCTACGACATCCGATTGTGCGAATAGAGAGGAGATCTACGCCATGCTAAGGGATGGGAGGGAGGGGTAGGACGTCAGATATGACGCGAGCACGCCTAGCTTGCCCCCCCCCTCCCCCCCCATCACGTAACGCTCCCCCCCAGTGCGTCCCCGGCATGCCGCAGTGCGTCCAGTACCACGGGGGGGGGGGGGGCGTTACGTTATGCCCCCCCCGCCTTCCTCTTCCCCCCCCATTCTCCCCGTATAATGCCCGTTATCGCCGCGAATACAGAATGCTTGCGTTTCGACGGGGAAGGGGATAGACTCAGTGTGGGATGCATCGAGTTCGAGGTTTCGGGTTCGAGGCATTCGGGCGCTTTCGGGCGTTTGCGTCGGTTCCCGGTGGCTTTCTGGCGTCGGGGTGCGTTCCAGCAGCTGCGCCTCGCCGAGAGCGTTCCAGGGGTGCCCAGGTCGCTCCGAGCGGCCGCAGGAGGCCAGAGTTTTGACCCCAAAGCCACCGAGGACGGGGATGAGAAATCGTAGGGGAACGAAGAATGACATAAACACAAAAACTCGGAGCTCCGCGCGGATTTCTCGGATCGGCGCTGGAACCCCCCTCCCTGGCGCGCAGAGCGCGCCAGGGGCGGCGCCGGAGGCGCCGCCAGGGGGGTCCAGCGCAGATCCGAGAAGTCCGCGCGGACTTCGCAGTGTTTTGTGTTCATGTCATTCTTCGTTCCCCCAAATCAGAGCCAGAGAAGCCCCGCGGATCAGCGGAGAAGCAGCGGCCACCGCCACCGAGAACCCATCGCCGCGGGGGTGGGGGCGACCCCTGGGCGGCGGCACGCCCGAGCGTCGCCCAGCACCCGGGTGGCTCTCGGGCGTGCCGCCGCGGACAGGGAGAGCGAGGAGTGGCAGCGACGGACAGGGAAAGGGGCGGAGAGAGGGGCAGGGAGCGCGAGGGGGGACAGCGAGGGGGTGCAGCGAGGAGGGTGAGCGAGGAGGCGCAGCGAGGAGGGGCAGCGAGGAGGGAAAGCGCGGAGGGAGAGCGAGGAGAGACGGCGAGGTGGGGCAGCGATGGACGGGGCGAAGGGCGGGGAGGCGGAGGCGAGGAGGGCGGGCCGGGGGGTCTCAGTGGTGCGCCCCTCGCTGCCACGGCCGGGCACGGCCCTCGTGCCCCGCAGAGGGGCCAGCTGAAACCGGAGAGCAGGAGGAGGAGGAGGAGGAGGAGGAGGAGGATGAGGAGGAGGAGAAGGAGGAGGAGGAGGAGAGGAGGAGGCGGAGGAGGAGGAGGAGGAGAGGAGAGGAGGAGGAGCAGGAGGAGGAGGAGGAGGAGGAGGAGGAGGAGGAGGAGGAGGAGGAGCAGGAGGAGGAGCAGGAGGAGGATGAGGAACTCGGCCACGTTTAGGGGGCCACTTGGGGTGGGGAACGCTTCTTAGAAGCACCCCTGTTTCTAATCGGGAAAACGTACGACTCGAGTACGCCGGAACTCGGGTTTGCCGACGCCTTCTGACGAGCGCGTCCCGCAGAATTTGGCGGTCCAGTTTTCGTGGGATGTTTGCGGCGGGAGCTCGCGTCAAATTTCAGACTGGGTCTCCTCATTTTCATGATGGCCCCGTCGGGCCATCACGAGTTCCCCGAACCCGAGTCTTGCGTCTCCCCGATCGAAGGTGCGGGCCTTGTCTGCAGATGTAATTCAGGCCCGCGCCCTCCAAGGAGCAGCCTCCTCCTACGATTAAATCGGGCCCGTCCCTCTACAGGAGTCTTGGGCCATTGTGGAGCATTTTCTGAATATTTTTATTTTTCGCCCAAAATCCCACTGTAGGGGGGCACGGCCGACTTACTCCTACGAAGCTCTCCCCCCTCCCCCCAAACCCCTTCTGCGCGCCGCCAAGAAGCAAGCGTGACAGCTTTCGGAGGTCCAGGCGGACTTTTCGAATCGGCGCTGGCGCCCCCCGGCGGCGCCTCTGGCGCCCCGCGCGCCAGGTAGGTGGGTCCGGTACCGGCCCGAAACATTCGCGCGGACCTGCGAGAGTGTTGTTCTGCGCGGGGTGCTTTCTGCAGTCGGAATGGCTCACCGCCAGCGCGAGCTCGAAGGAGACGGTCTCGCCATCGTGGATGCCCAGGGGCCCACGGCTCACGGTGCGGCAGGTTCGCGCGGCGTCGTCGCGGCGGCCACCCAAGTGGGGGCGGTTGAGGTTGACTGCCACCGTTGGCATGGAATCGACTGCTTTCGAATTACAGTCAACCCGCATAGTAAGATTGGGCAACTTTCCCAAGGGTACCCTTGCATCCTCGCCTCCTCGGTCCATCCTTCGCCGCTTTCGCTGGCCGCGCCCCGCTCGAAAAGCTTCGAAATGGGCGTCCAAGGCCCTTGCACCCTTATCGCGCATGCTTACTATACTGGTTGACTGTATCTGCGCTATCGGAAAGCCACGATCGCTCAAGATTGAACGATCCACGCGCCAGCCAAATGTCTCGTCAACCACTTGGCGACGTGCACAAGTGGATGAGGGAGATTCCGACTGTGCTTAATCGTCTACCATGCCGCTTTCGAATTATTAGCGCTTTCGGAAAGCCACGATCGCTCCTTATTTAATGATCCACGCGCCAGCCACATGTCTCGTCAGCCACTTGGCGACGTGCACGAGTGGATGAGCGAGATTCCGACTGTGCTTTGTCGTCTACCCCTTGGCGAGATCAGTCGAGGGAACGTGCGTAGGATAAACAGTGGGGGAAGGACGCTGTAATGTTGCTGTACGTCATCGACGGCGTGGTCGTGATCGTGGTGGCCGTCCTCGTCTTGTGGTTGGCGGAGTCGTGGGTGGGCACTGGCGGCCCTCCCCGCCCCCCACCACGCCCCTGCCCTCCGGATTGAACCCCCAACTCCTGCCAGAATCAGGGACACGCGCTCATTTCTCTTGGCAACATCAGACGCATGACATGTGCGCCGCAGGTGCGCAGGGAATAGCGGCTTGAGCGCCGGCCTAAACCTGATATTCGCAGGCTTCGAGATTGACACCAACACCAATATCGGCGGCGTGCCTCCACCGAGGGAAGAAGACCCCGGTCTCGGTGATGGCGGTCATATTCTGGCTCCCAAGCCGGCCGAACTATTACCGCCGACACCGATATCTTGGATCATCTTCCCCCTGTGGAGGCACCCCCCTGTGTTGGTGGTGCCAATTTCCAGGCCTCCAAGACGTGCCTTGAGCCTGATGCCGCGCCCCTGCCCCCCGCCGCAGCAGCTCCAGCCCGCCGAAGCGGTCGCCGAGCAGGGGCCGCAGGCCCGCCGGGAGGGGCCGCGGGTCGTGGGCGGGGGGGTGGGCGGAGGCCCCGCCCTGGCGCGGGAGGGTTGAAGGATAAGGGGGGATCCTCCTCCCTCCTCCCTCCTCCCTCCTCCCTCCCCCTCCTCCTCCTCCCTCCTCCCTCCTCCCTCCTCCCTCCTCCTCCTCCTCCTCCCTCCTCCTCCCTCCTTCCTCCCTCCTCCTCCTCCCTCATCCTCCTCCTCCTTCTTCCTCCTGGATGGAGGGAGGAGGGGAGGGGGAGGTGCAGGGCGGGCGGAGCGGGGTGGGGGAAGGAGGGGGAGGAGAGAGGAGCGGAGGGCGGGAGGAGGAAGGAGGGAGGAGGGAGCGGGAGAGGGCTGGGCGAAGGCCCCCGCCCGGGCGCGGGCGGAGGTAGGATGAGGGAGGATAGGGAGGTGTGGAGGGAGGCAGAGGGAGGCAGGGGGGAGAGGAAAGAGCGAGGGAGGAGGGAGGGGCGGGAGTAGGTAGCGAGGAGATCGCCGGTGCGCGTGGCGCGAGGAGGAACATGGCACTCCCTCCTTCCTCCTCCTTCCTCCTCCTCCTCCTCCCTCCCTCCCTCCCTCCCTCCCTCCCGCCCTCCCTCCCTCCCTCCCTCCCTCCCTCCCCTCCCTCCCTCCCTCCCCTCCCTCCCCTCCCCACCTCCCTCCCCTCCCCTCCCTCCCTCGTTCCTCCTCCGCCTCCTCCTCCTCCTCCTCCTCTCCTCCATTTCCGCATGCATGGGGGAGGGAGGGATGGCGAGGTGGGTGGGGTGAAGCCTCACGCCTGCATGCGCCTGCCACTTGCCCGCGAAAAAGGCGGGGGAGGGGGGAAGGGAGGGAGCGGAAGGACGGAAGGAGGAAGGAGGAAGGAGGAGGAGGGATCAGGATAGAGGGCGGAGGAGGGAGAACTCAGGCCTCCCGGATGGGGTCCGAACAGAGTGGGTCGGAGGATCGCGCCGCGTCGGCGATGCATCGGTGATGCGGCTCGATGCGGAGCCCGATTTTCTCCTCGCCGACGTGGCCGATGCATCGCCGAAGTCGCCGACGCATTGACAATCCATCGGCGATGTATCGGCGGTGCGGCCAGTTCCTCCAACCCCATCTACTCCGACCCCACCTGGAAGGCCTCCAGAGAAGGAGGTGGGAGCAGAGTGGAGGAGGCCGCTTGGAGCCGTTTTGGGGGTCTCGGGGGCTCTGGGAGTCCTGCCGGGAGCTACGCGGAATTCTGGTCCATCTTGTGTCGCCATGGAGGCTATGACAGGCTCCCTGGGGCCATCTTGGACCGATCTCCGGTTATCTTGGCCTCTCCAGCGACCCGCGCCCCCCCCCCGTCGAGACCCAGGGAGAGGAGGTTAGGGAAGAGGTAAACCTCTCCCGAAGGTAGTAATGATATTGGAATGCCTAACTCGCTAAACCACCTACGCCCAGAGGGATTGTTGGATTGTGAACGCGCAGGTTTCGCGGGCATGTCCCGACGGTGTCCGATTTGTTCTCAATGACTTCCGACTCCGTCCCGCATTGGTAACATGGGTCGTGCGGGCCTGTCCCGATGGCGTCCCGATGTGTTCCCAATGAGTTCTGACCTCGCCCAGCGAGACCCCTAGGGCCTCCACGAGGGGACACCACACGCTCTCCCTGCCGCCGTACTCGCGCGCACTCGTCGCGCAACCCGGGCGCCCCGTGCAGCCTTCCCCGCGCGGGAGCCCTGCGCGCACACCGGCCTTGACGTGCACGGTGCCCCGAGAATGTCGCCTGTGCTCCGGCAGGGGGAGGAGGGGAGGGAGGAGGAGGATGAGGAGGAGGAACGATGATGAGGACGGAGGGAGGGAGGGAGGAAGGAAGGGAGCAAGAAGAGGCGATCTGATGAGCACGGATGAGGAATGGTGAAGTTGAGGATCGTGATGGCGATGCTAATGATGGCGGTGATCATGCTGGCCATGCCGACGATGATGTTCATGACGATGAGGATGATGAGGATGTCGATAGGGGGTGGCGGTAGTCGTGATGAAGACGGGTGGCGAGGAAGGATCAGGAAACGGAGGAGGACGATGCGGACGGATGAGGAAATGCGATTGGAATGAGTGGGAGGCAAGGGCAGAGGACGGCGGGGGTGCGGGAGGACGGGGAAGAGGAGCGGAAGCGGCGGGGGGGAGGTGGAAGGATATTGATGATGCGACGCGCGGCTTGTCTGAGTGCGTGCTCCGCGAAAGACGGCGCACGGCGGGTGGCGCGCGTTGGTATGGGGAGCCGTGCCGCCTGCGCCACCTGCAAACGCTGGGGTGGGGGAGTGAGGGGCCAGGAGGGAGGAGGAAAGAGGCAGGAGGAGTGTCGGGGAGGAAGCATACTGATGATGCTGATGATGACGATGCTGATGCCGATGAGGCTGATGCTGATGATGATGGTGATGCTGCTGATGATGAGGATGATGATGAGGATGATGGTGATGATGATGATGATGATGATGATGATGATGATGATGATGATGATGATGATGATGATGCTGATGATGATGATGATGATGATCGTGAGGATGCTGATGGTGATGATGTTGATGATGCTGATGATGATCTTCATCATGATGATGCTGCTGCTGATGCTGAGGAGGAAGACGAACAGGAGGAGGAGGAGGAGGAGGAGGAGAAGGAGGATGATGAGGAGGATGTGGTGAAGGAGGAGGACCAGTGTAATTCTTAATGATATTGGAATCGACCCTCCCTCCAAGTTCCCTCACCAAAGGCCCCTTACAAGGGTTCATTTTCACAGAGGCAAGTGCCTCGTTGGAAGACAACCGTTTGAACATCTGGATCTGTGTCAGAAGACCGTTCTTGGGACTCCAATTGCCAAGAACCACAGTTACTGTTGCGTCTTGACGATCCTGAAGCGTGCCTGAACGCCATTCCTGGGACTTCAACACCGTGAATCTATGCGACTCGGAACTGAATCCTTCCAACACGCAATTCCTGGTACGTTTTCCATGGGAACCCGTGACACGCGACACTTTTCCAAATTCAAAAGACGAGTGTGCGCGATGTTGTAGCGATAGCCACATCTGAAAACGACCCGCCCTCAATCCGTGAAGCTCTTGCAATTTTTAAGACAAGTGTGCGCGGCGCTGAAGCGAGAGCCACATTTTGAAAACGACCAGCCCTGAATCAGTGAAGCTCTTGCATTTTTTCCCGACCGAATCTGCGCGGTGTAAGGCGAGAGCCACATTTTGAAAACGACCCGCCCTCAATTCGTGAAGCTCTTGTGAATCTTTCTCAGACGAATGTGTGCCCTTTTTTAACCACCCGCCCTCCATGTGTAAGGCCCTTGCCAATTTCTACTCTTCAGGGTCATAAGTGGTGAGGAAATCTCCGGACAAACGCCTGGCCGCTCTTTCAGCCAGCTTCGGGGTGCGACGGGGAGGAGTCATCTATAAGGAAAGGAATGGAGGTGGAGGAGCAGGAGGAGAAGGAAGAGGAGGAGGAGGAGGAGGAGGAAGGAGGATGAGGAGGAGGAGGTGGTGGGCGTGAAGGAGCGAACGCCGTAGGGCTCAAGGTAATATGTAGCAGGCAACGGGTAACCAGAGGAAGGGGGGAGGAGGAATGGGGGAGGAGGCAGTAAGTAGCAGGAAGGAGGACGGAGGAAGGAGGGAGGAACGAGGAAGGAGGAGCGAGGAGCGAGGAGCGAGGAGGGAGGAGGGAGGAGGGAGGGGGCGAGGAGCGAGGAAGGAGGAGCGAGGAGCGAGGAGGGATGGGGCAGGGCGAGGGGCACCGGCCGAGTCGGGGGCGCGCCGCGGCCGCGCCGCCCCCCAGGAGGCGCGGCAGAAGTGGCTCTGGAGACCGAGGCGCGCGCACCGCCTCCGGAGTCGGGCGAAGGGGCCCCTTTGCAAGTCTGGGCCTCCCAGCTGGGGCCCTCTGCAAGTCTGGGCCTCCCAGATGTTGGAGTATTTTGTGTTTAGCTGTCGTCCAACACCCCCATGTAGGGGGACGGGCCCGACCTAAGCTCTGAGCATCTGGACCTCCTGCATGGGGTCCGAGTAGATGGGGTCGGAGGATCGCGCCGCATCGCCGATGCATCGGCGACGCGGCTCGATATGGGGCCCAGTTGTCTCCACGCCGACGTCGCCGATGCATCGCCGACGTCGCCAGTGTATCGCTGGCGCATCGCCGATGCATCGCCGATGCATCGCCTATGTATCGGCGATGCGGCGCGATCCTCCGACCCCAGCTACTCCGACCCCTATGCAGGAAGCCTCTGGCAAAGGGGGTCTCGAATAACTGTACGCCGTAGTTCGTGCAGCCGTGCGTGTTGGGCCGTGTTGGCTGCGGGGTGTGTGCCTTGCCGTTGGTCTCGTCGGTCTGTGAGGGAGGCCACGCGCCATGAGCCACATGATGAACCACTGCACCTTTGTGTTGCGACGCCAGCACAACAGATCCCCTCTGCCCGGACCCCTCCCCCGGGCGCGGCCTCGCCCCGCCGACCTCCGCTGTCCCCCGTCGGTGCGATCGCAGTGGGTACGAAGACCGGCAGCAGTTCCTGCCCATGTTGAGCAGGATTCGGCTTCGGCGTCGCCGCGGACGTGGTGGATCTGGGACGGCAGGCCGCCTGCCCATCAGCAGCTGCTGACGTTTTTGGACAACCCTTGCCGTTGGGCATCGTGCCAGTTTTTTTCCGTACCCATCTTGGAGGAGGTTCGAAGTTTTCGGGCGTTCTCGTCGGTTCTCAGGGATCTTCCAGCCTTGGGATCCTTTCCAGCAGCTGCGCCTCGTCGAGGGCGATCCCAGGGTGCCAGGATCGTCCCGAACGGCCGCTGGAGGCCAGAGTTTTGACTTGTGTGTGCCTGCGGGTCAGAGATGCGTCCTGCCCGTTTCAATGGAGTACATAAGCTATACTCATGATGGGGCTGCCTGTATTTCTCCCACAAGTCTTCTCCGAGTTGGTAGTGTCGCTGTCTCCACGTGTCTCCTGGTCGCCTAAGTGATTGTCGTGGCGGCAGCTGCTATCATCGCGATTGTGGCTATTAGCCATGACCTCACATACTGCAAAATGGCGCTCGCAAATGCAACCCTTATGCCAGTTTGTATCTGTCTACACATACGTGCGTACACACATGAACATACATACACACATACATGTACGTATGCACATGTTTGTATGTATGTATGTATGTATGTATGTATGTATGTATGTATGAATGCGTGCACGTACGACATGCACACACATCGACATATATATACATGCATATACGTGTTTGTATATTTATATATTTATACATGGACATATACATATTCATATGCAACTGTATACATATACGCACATGCACACATGCATTTTCATAGGTGTATATATATATGGGTTCATATATTGCCATAGCCCATTATACTGTACACTCTTATATTACATATGTTGTGTGTGTGTGTGTGTGTGTTACATGCTCCGTATACACATATCGTAGTACAGTTTATCCTGAATGGTGACAGTCTATTACAATGCATTGCGTTGTGAGCTACAATAGTGTGGTATGGTATTCTATGATATATCGTATCACATGGTTTCTTATGATCTGAAACACCATTGTGGCACATTATATTTCACCACGTTGCAGTCTATGTAATAAATTTGTATTAAGTTTAGATATGTAATACGTTGCGCGTATTTTTGTACTTCATGTCGTACCATGTTATCTCAGGGTTAATTATGCCATTTACGTGCTATAGCACTGTGTCGCATTTTGCAGTATATCGTATCAGATGTGTGGTATAGTAGGGCCGTTTGTATTCTACTGCATCATCGTCCATATACCAGAGTTTGTACATCAATGTTTCATCTTATGCTGTTTGTTTGTCTTTGTTTAGTCGTACTATATGTTTGCCGTCTTTCTTGGTTTATTTGATTACATGTTTGAGTTTCGCAGTATGCCATGACGTAGTGAACGTACCAGCGCGAATTTTTACACCATGTGCCAAGACACACTCTAGTAACATACTGTGCTTTAGGTTATTAGACTGTAACTAACACAGTAAGCTATAGCTTCTGGCGCGCTACATGTTATATTACATCGTGTTACCATGTGTTTCCACCGTTTACTGTGTGATACATCATATCGAAATGTAGTGTATCATGTCTTCTTTTGTGTTCTATATGCGCGTATTACGTATCATATGGCATCGTAGAGTATTGTATTTGTTTATCGTACATCGTAGCACATAGCACGCTACTATCGTTTTATATATATATTATGATTTCAAAGTGCCTGATGTGGTTTAATTCTTGTATACGCCATGTCGTAATATCTTATGCCATGCCATCGTGTACTATGCATACATGTTATACGGTCTTCTGATGTGGCGTGCTGGCTTCCACTGTCGTTGTCTCCACCATATCTTAATATTTATCTATAGTATCGTACATGGTCTAGTGGTCTGCAGTCCATCCCGCCACCGTGCCTGGGTTGTGGGTTAGAGGCGTCTTGGATGTTCGTTTTGGTATCGCGGGGGGCCTCTCGGGGACCTCTTGGGGGCCGTTTTGAGGCCTCTCGGGGGCCGTTTGGGTGCCTCTTGGGGCTGTTGGTGTGCCTCTTGGAAGCTTCGTGGGGCCTCTAGAATGCCTCGTGAGCTCTCTCGGGAACCTCTTGGGGGCCTTTTGGGGCCTCTTGGGGGCCTCTTGGGGCGGACGGCTCGCATAGTCGGTTCGTGTTCCCCCTCTTGGGCCCCTGTTGGGGTCGTCTTGGGGCTCTCGGGCGATCTTGGGCGCCTGTTGAGCAATTTTGGGGTCCTCTTGGACTGTCTTGGGGCCCTTCTGGGGGCCTCCTGGGCCGTCTTGGGGCGGTCTTGGGGGCTCGGGGGCCATCATGGAGCGTCGGAAGCCCAACAACGAGGGACCGCGAGCAGCATAAAACGACACTCACGGAACATCGATGGGTTTGTTCTCTTGGACTTTCTTGGGGGTCCTCTTTGAACGCTATTAGGGTTTCACTGGGGCCTCTTGGGCCGTCTTGGGGCTATTTTGTGTTATCATCGTATGGTGTGCAACATGATCGCGCTCATTATATTTTCCCAAAAAGCATCCTCACATCATTATACATTTTTTTACCTTTCAAACATATCTTAATATCATACGCAGTATTATGGCTTCTTCTATGCTATCCTACTCTATGCCATTCCTTTTTTTCATTCTACTGTCTGTCAGTACAGTCGTAGTATTCGTTTCATCACCGCATAGCACACCATATTACATTCCATTATAGCATGCGGTTATATACATATACACACGTATTGCACCTCACCGTATCATACCATTGTATACCGTATCATAGTCTATTATATGTTGGCTTCGTATCTGCTATACGTTTCCGGATGACTATATATATACATATGTATATCTATATGTAATTGAATACGGCCTGTATTATTTTTATATTTGTCATTGTGGCACAATGTGCGATCTTCCCTATATATCTCGGAGAGGGCCGCGGGCGGGCCCGGGACCATGGCCACGGTGACGCATGGGGGCTCAAGGGGGTCCCACGAGCGCCCTCGAGACCTCCATAACCCCATACCCACGATAATAATGTACCCCCCCCCTATACGAGTTGATTATCCACGGCCAATAAGAGTTTGGTCGGGGGCGCGGGGGCGCGGAGGCCGAACCTCATTATCACGGCGAAAAGTTCGCCATCAAGCGAAACAAGCAATGCTTTAGGAACCCTGTCGTTCTCTTCTCCTTCTCCTCTTCTCCTCCTCCTCCTCCTCCCCCTCCTCTCTCTTTCTTCTCTCTTACCTCTCGTTCAATATGCTTGTCTACTTTCTTCTGTCTCTTTGTATCTCTTTCTGTCTTTCTTGCTTTCTTTTTTTCCTCTCTCTCTCTCTTTCTTTCTCCTCCTCCCCATGGCCCCTGAACTTGTTTGCCGCTGTGCTTTATTATCCAAGGTAAGCGAGGCAGATGAGCTACCCTACACGAGCAGATGAAACTTTTAATTTCCATTAAGCGTTTACAAATTAAATCCAATAAGTTTTGAACTTTGGATTTTTGCTATCTCCTTCTCCTCTCCTCCTCTTGCTGTTTCTCCTCTTCCTCCTCCTCCTCCTCTTCCTCTACCTCCTCTTCTCTTTCTATCTTTCTATTTATCTCTCTATGTCTCAAGCGAAACGAGAGATTTGTCGAGGATGTCTCAAGCGAGACAAGCCATTGTTGAGGATGTCTCAGAGAGGACAAACAGCCAAGAATGTCTCAAGATATCCTCGGCTTTGGTCTCTCTGTTAACATCTTTATGCTGGCTCTGGTGGGCAACTTTTATTCTCACATCGTAACCGCCGAACTTTATTCTCCCTGGGGGTTTATTCTCGGCTGTTCTCGGTGAATGGCCATTCTGGTGTACAGATAGCCAAAAAACTGGCACGATAGTCTGCAGGACCGTTCCATCACACCCCGAGGGCGCCGAAGATGCCTTCAACGGCCCGGGTAGGCTTCATGGGGCGCTCCAGGCTTCAGACGATTGTTTCGAGAGGCGCAAATCTTTGATTTCCAGTGGGTTCTCCGAGTTTCCGACGATCGAAGACGGCCCGGGAGGCCCACAATACCGTCCCAAGACGGGCCAGGAGGCCCCGAGGAGGTCCCCAGGACGGCCCAGAAGGGCTCCAAGACTGCTCCCAGGGGCGCCCAAGATGGCCCAAGAGGCTTTAAAGACGGCCCGAAGATGGGCTCAAGAGGGGCAACATGGACCTCTTCGCCCCAAGAGGCTCCCAGGATGCCCCAAGAAGGTGCCAGGACGGTCTCGGGCAGGCTTCAGTGGGCGCCCGAGGCCGACACTCTACGACGGCCCAAGAGGCCTCCAACACCGCCTCA